TGTGTGTGTGTGTGTGTGTGTGTGTGTGTGTGTGTGTGTGTGTGTCCATAGTGGGGCTTGAACTCAGAGTCTGGGTAATGTACCTTAGCTTTTTCACTCAGGACTAGCACTCTAGCACTTGAGCCACAACTCCATTACTGAATCATTGGTAGTTCATTGAAGATAAGAGTCTTACAGCCTTTCCTGCCAGGTCTGACTTCAAACCATGATCCTCAGATCTCAGTCTCCTGAGTAGTTAGGATTACAAGTGTGAGCCACCAGCACCCAGCTAGAGAAGCATTTTCAGTGGTGACAGTAGCTTCCTTTCTCTGCTGGTATCATCAAAGATTAGAATTTTCTAATGTTGTAATGTCAGGTTATAAAGCAGACACTTCTTTTTCCTATGGTATAAACTTGTGCAATAAAAATTGCTAAGACTAAACCCTGTGAAAGGATAAAATGAATTACTTTTCAGATCTTTGTGATCTTTGGCTCGGTTTTCCAACCTTTGAGGCTACAAAAATGAGTCTGTATATGGGTATTTTAGGAATATATTCACGAGATGATATAGAGATTCTAAAATATTTTACTGGCATTTAGCAAGGAGGAAAAGATTATCTTTTAAACATAATATCAAATTTTCAAGTCATAAAAGACATTCCAGGAGACTATCTGAAAATAAACTTTGAACTTGACTAAAAATTCTAAACATATGATCCATAGGTGAATGACTGCTAGTTTTGTGTGGAAATAGAGATTTATTTTCTTTGTCATTGACACTTTTCAAACATCTTGTATTTTACTAATAAGAACGTAGGGAGTATAATTAGAAACCCTTCATGGCATAAAGACTTTTTAATTAAATCAATATTTTTTGAGGATAAGTAGTTAGCTTAGTCAATATTTTTTGAGTATAAGGAGTTAGCTTAGTGGTAGAGCCTCAGGCTCCATCTGGAGCAACACACACACACACACATACACACACACACACACACACACTTTACTTTAAGCTAGTAGGGAACAAAAGCAAAGTATCTTTTAGGGTCATATTTAATCATTCAGCAGGAAAATTGCCATTAAAAAATTTGTCAGTCATGGGGCTTGAACTCTGGGCTTGGGTGCTGTCCTTGTTCTCTTCAGCACAAGATGAACACTCTACCACTTGAGCCACAGTGCCACTTCCGGTTTTCTAGTCATTATTGGAGATAAGAGTCTCATGGACTTTCCTGCCTGGGCTGGCTTTGAACTGTGATCCTCAGATCTCAGCCTCCTGAGTAGCTAGGATTAAGGTGTGAGCCACCCTCACCCATTTTAAATTTCTCTCCTGGAGGTTGCCTTTTATACTTAGTATTGATAAGCATTGAGATGTGTATTGATTTTAAGATAATATAAGAATGTAGATATTGGTTACAATATGGTAAATAATTATTGTCCTATACTGCAGAAATAGCACTTGCCTTTCAAGCAAGAATGCACTGCTACCTGGATGGATGCCTGGGCAGGGTATGAAAATGGAGAAATCTAGTTTTCCTGAACTTAGTAGGTGTATTGTGCATTGATAACAGATTATAGAAACCTAATAGGTTATAAGACAAAATTCTTGATCTTAATACATCGTTTTAAAAAGAAGGTTTGATTGAAATGGTACATTTTTAATTTGCCTCAGAGTAAGTTGGGAGTGTGGTCTGAACTGAAGAGAGATTGCCTTTATGTTGGTCAATGTGGCAGCTGGTTCATCCGTTCTTGAAGCACACAATATAAAATATAGTATTCTTTTTGTTGTGTAAATTTGGGGCTAGCAATATTTATTGAAATACTAAATATATAAATATCAAGTCTACTTCTATGCTGAGCTTAAAAATTTCGGGTAACTTTCTAAGAACAATGTGTACATTTCGAAAGTGAGGAATTCAACCCAAGCCAGACTGTAGTTCTGCGTAGAGCCTCTGGGCGCCGCTGTCGCCCAACGTAGAGCAAGCTTTGACACCCGGATCCCAAAGTCCATAGCTGAGAATTTCCTGCACAACCACCAACACACACAGAGAGAAAATCTCTCACTCACGGAGGCCACGTAAAAGGACTCCAGCCCCGAAATTAGGCTGCGCCTGTCCTGGGCCGAATGCTCTTCCGCCTCGGTAGACATCAGTCTCCAACCCTGAAGCCAGAGCGAGCAATGGGAGGGAGCTGCGCGCAGGGACAACGCCCCCGCCCCGGCCAGGTACTCCTTCCTTTCCTGCTGTCTTTGTTCTACCCCGGGCTCTGCCAGCCCGTCCGCTACTCCATTCCCGAGGAGCTGCCCCGGGGTTCGGTGGTGGGGAACCTCGCCAAAGATCTGGGGCTCAGCGTCCCAGAAGTGTCTGCTCGCAAGCTGCGAGTCAGCGCCGAGAAGCTGCACTTCAGCGTGGACGCGGGGAGCGGGGACTTGGTGGTGAAGGACCGCATAGACCGCGAGCAGATATGTGGGGAGAGAAAAACGTGTGAGTTGCAGCTGGAAGCCGTGGTGGGAAACCCTTTAAATATCTTCCATCTCGTTGTGATGATTGAGGATATTAATGACAATGCTCCACAATTTGATAAAAAGAAAATACAATTGGAAATTGTTGAATCTATGGCCATTGGTACACGAATATCCCTAGATCCTGCTACCGACCCAGATATAAACTTAAACTCAATTAAAGATTACCAGATAAGTCCTAACCCTTATTTCTCATTGGTGGTCAGAATTAATTCTGATGGTGACAAGTTCCCAGAGTTATCTCTAGAGAAACTCCTAGACAGGGAAGAGCAGAGATCTCATCGCCTGATCTTGACTGTCTTGGACGGAGGGGAACCACCACAAAGTGCCACCACTCAAATAGAAATAGCTGTAAAGGACATCAATGACAACCCCCCGGTGTTCAGCAAAGACGAATATAGAATCAGCGTTAGTGAAAGTCTACTCCCAGGATCCCCAGTGTTGCAAGTGATGGCCACTGATAAAGATGAGGGACCCAATGCAGAGATCAGCTATTACTTCCGAAGCACAGCCCAGAGCACGAGACACACGTTCTCACTGGATGAGAAAACTGGTATGATCAAGAATAACCGGTCACTGGACTATGAAGATGTGGACAGATACACCATGGAAGTAGAAGCAAAGGATGGAGGTGGTCTCTCTTCCCAGTGCAAAGTCATAATAGAAATCCTAGATGAAAATGACAACCACCCCGAAATTATCCTCACTTCTCTCTCGGATCATATTTTAGAGGATTCCCCTCCAGGAACAGTTGTTGCCATTTTCAAAACGCGGGATGGGGATTTCGGAGGAAATGGGGAAGTCAAGTGCGAAATAGAAAAAGATCTTCCTTTCAAGATTCATTCTTCTACTACTAACTACTACAAACTGGTGACAGATGGAGTGCTAGACCGAGAGCGGGACCCAGAGTACAATCTTACCATCACCGCCACAGATGGAGGCAAACCGCCCCTTTCCTCCAAGACATATATCAACCTACACGTCACTGACGTCAATGATAACGCACCCGTTTTCAACCAGGCTTCTTACTTGGTCCACGTGGCTGAGAACAACCCTCCCGGAGCCTCCATCGCCCAAGTCAGCGCCTCCGACCCAGACCTGGGGCCCAACGGCCAAGTGTCCTACTCCATCCTGGCCAGCGACCTGGAGCCAGGCGCGCTGTCGTCCTACGTGTCAGTGAGCGCGCACAGCGGGGTGGTGTTCGCCCAGCGCGCCTTCGACCACGAGCAGCTGCGCTCCTTCCAGCTCACTGTGCAGGCGCGCGACCAGGG